AAATATATTCCACGTATACTTATCTTTCCTGAATTTTTGGAATATTTTTCCCTTTTGGACATATTTCCGGGAAAGAAAGGTGTGGTTACTTGGAGCTCGAAAAAGTACTTGTTGCTGCTGTATGGTCGGCTCATCAAGAAAAAAAAGCGGAAGAAGATCCTGTAGAAAATCAAGGATAAGACCCCTTTTAGCAGTTTTTCCCAGAGCATTGTATAAACTGAAACAGGAGAAAGTCACGCCAAGGCCATCAGTATTGAGGCAAGAGGGGCGCAGACACCATCGCGGCACCACTTGTGAGTTGCGCTTCTTGCGGATGGGCGGAGAGATGTAAGCCTCTACCACGTACCCAAGGAGGGCTACGTGAAAAATGGAACATTGATTGGAGCACCTCCATGTTCTTTGCCGCAAACAGCTACAGCACAGACGATCAGCGAATGCCGCCGGGCTCAGCTCCAACTCAAGGAGGAAGTCCCTGATGCTAAGACTTGGACGGAGACGAGTGATTGAGCGAATTAGTGTGGTAGGAGCGTGGGATTGGGAGTTTTGTTTTGGACCACGCTGTCATGAGGCGCTGTTCCGGTGAAAGAGCGCAGCCTAGGGCATCAAATTGAGGCAGCTTAAACCCTTTGGACAATGCGGATTTGCACGTAGCGTGCTCGTGGGACCACGCCTCTTTTTGGCGCGCCCAACTCTCGCACAAAATGGGGCAAAATTGTCCCTAAAAGCAGTTTTTCTATCAAAATTTTGACTATGACAATAAACAAAATATGACTGCAGTCTTAAGCTTTATGATCATGTATTGTTGGAATTAGAAGTGGAAGTTTGGAAAGAAATCTCGGATTTCGAAAGGGATGGTGTTTGAAAACTCTAGAATTTGAATGTACAGTAGAATTTTGATATCGTTCAAACTCCTCAATGTGTCTTGAGACTATGGAAAAGACGTAGAGGTTCTGATCTGTAAGTCACCTTAAGCTTAATAATGTAAAACACTAGTTACTACATCGCCGAGCGAAGTGCCATATCCTAAAATTTCATATAAATTAGCTAGTAACAAACATTTCTGCAAAATATGCTAAACATAGGCGTAACGGAGCTTGCTTATAATTACTGATATGTTGAAAATATTTCAAATGGTAAAGGAAGAAAATTTAGGGTGGCATCCCACCCATTGTACCCCATTTGTTGCTGCGTTTGCTCTTTCCCTCCGCACCACCACATATGATCAATAGGGATATTGCCAAGAATCCCACTGCCGTCCATCAAGAGAGTACGACCCCTCCACCACTACAAGCTCAACCAAATGCGACCCCTCCCCCCGTCAACCTTGTGGCAACATAAGCGTTGACCCGTGCACTAGCACGTGCGGCGGTTGATTGCGAGCACCAGACTTAACAGCGCGCCCCAGAGCGACGTCGTTACGGTGAAACTGGGCGACCATACTGATAAATCGTTCTATTTAGACCACCTTGGAGCCTGAAAAATGCGCATTCTGTGCGTTTGTGGACTGAGATACCTCCTATGCGGGAGGGGGAATACTTCCATTCAGGAAATGTGAAGTATTGGGAGTTTTTCGAAAAGCACTGAAGAAAGATGTCACTAATTCTGAATAAACCGTCAACTTACAAATCGAATTGGTGAGATTCCATGGAATGAGCGAATGATGCACGACTGAAACAATTCGCGTTTTTCCGCAACTTGCATTTAAACACTAGCTTTGATCCATGTGAGCATCGCTTAAAATAATTTGAACAAAACAAAATAAAAAGATAAAAAATCTGATGCCGATCAATTCCCTCTCGGTATGCGCCCCCTTTCTTCTTCCTCCCAAAATCGCAGTGGTTCTTGAATACTGTTCAAACTTCATGTAATGCGAGAACTACCAGGTCACACTTCATGTAATGCGAGAACTACCGGGAGATGAACGGGTCAGTGTATAATATTTGTCATCCAGTAAAAAGGTTTTTCGGTAAACCGTCACTTTTTCAAAAATTTGCGACCGCGCCCTCCCATGAAGGGGGGGGGGGGAGGGGTCTCGGTGCCGGCCCCTGCCACCCACCATCGTTCTAGAAGGCTCCCTTAATGCGATCCTTCCTCCTCGTTCTCCGATCACCACCCTCGCCATCGTGCTAATTCTAAAGTATTTGATTCAGAGTCCAATCGACACAGCCCAGCTCCGTCCACTTTTCCCTCCAAAACGACCGTCGAGCGGGGGGGGGGGAGGGGTAAATTGGTACCACGAGGAGCCAATCCACCAATTTTGCCTAATTCTGACTACTTTCGTAGAACTTTCACCAAGTTGTCTAAAAATAAGAAAAAAATTGACTAAAGCAGTCGTTGCGTCGTGAAGTGCTCTACATCCACCAAAAGCCAAAATATCAGCTGTTTTTGCAAGGATGTCGCTGGTGGCACTCATCGAACGTAAGTGAGCGCCACCCTCTCTCAGCTCGTAGATCCCCAACGGCCAGCGAATTGAAGCAGCTGTCAGCATGGATGGCTCACCTGATGCGAAAATTTTCCTCTCGAATGACGTACTTTGTCTCGACCACTTCCAGATATTCGGCCCAACAGGTGAGGAAATAAACGGCTAACGCGGCGAGCAAACCGATTAAGAAAAACAGAACCACATATTTCCATAGCTCTGAAAGGCTTAATCGAGAGAAAGGATTTCATCGTTTCTCTCATTTTGAACTCATAACAAAACGTCGGAAGACCGGAAGAATGTCGTAAATAAAAATAAATAGTAGTAAACAATATATGGAACAAATAGGATGAAGCATAAAAAGAAAAAAAAAAACCTTCCAATCATACAAGGGCTCAAGTTTTATGTATGGATAAAATTTCTTCCGAAGGTGGTGCAAGCCAAAACTATGACAGAACCTTGCAGGAACGAGTGATAGCAGAAGAATGACAGAGAACATCTCCCACTATCCGGCAGCAGTCCTGCCAGCTAGTTTTTCTTTAAAGGCAAAGGTCGGGATTAGTGCACCAAACCAACCCTTTCGGTCATGCCTGTACTTGGTTACGCACCCGTAGAGATGTTCCCACACTCAAAACCCGAAAACGGCGCAGTAATAAGGCCCCAGGCATGTACTATGCGCTATCGCCGCCTGGCCCCGCTACGCCTCCCACCTCCGGAAGTGGTGCGTGGCTGGCATAACGTGTGAAATCAGCTAGGTTGATTGCCGTATCAACCGATAGAACGACTGATACTTCCAGAAAAATTGTTTGTACGTGCCTCTTCCCCAAGACAGCCTCCTTCACTGCTAGTGGGAAAGAGGGTCCCGACTGAGCCCGACTTTTTGCCTTTAACATTGGAGCGAGAGAAGTGTTTCCTACGGGGCCCCTGATGGGTTCACAGAAATGATTTGAGAAACCAGAAAAAAACATAACGAAAACAGTTGTGTACATCTCCAAACGATCGCCTTTCGCTAGGAGATTGTTATAGCTTCCTAGGGCTGGAAATCAGCCTAGGACCTCTCTGGTCGTGATACACTCTCTGTTTCAAGAAACCAGAAGTGCGTCGAGTGCAGACCACACACCACAAGTGACGACGGCCTCCACAAAATGTAAATGTTTCTGCCAATGAAATGATTAGCCTGTTGCAGTTGTATTCTATCAGTTGTCACTAATTACAACTATCATTTACCAAAATCAGCTATCTGAATCACTAGTACCAGATTTACTTGGAGGCCGTCGTCACTTGTGGTGTGTGGTCTGCACTCGACGCGATTCTAGTTTTCTGGAAGAGAGGGTACGACAGCAGGTAGTAGTGCCACTAATACTGTTAGATTCTTTGAGGGAGTTGTGACCCGTCGAAGAAGGGGGACCTTATGGCTGCTCATGTGGTGGCATCATAGCTCGCCGCGCTCGTGGAAGGACATGTTTTATGTCATCTAGGGTTACTGTGGCCCCTGGATTTTCTCCCAAGCTATTTCATTTGTTATTCCTATAACGATGGCAGGGCGGAAGTGGTGTAGTGGCAAGTGGCACGCTTACCACGCGAGCGGTCCGGGGATCAAATCCTGGGTCGTGAGTCGCCCGGGCCAACCAAGCCTTCCATCCCTCCGGGGTCGGTTAATTGGTACCAGACTGGGAGGATAAAAACACTGACTTGTACATCGGCTGGCCCCCGCAAGTCATTGTATAGGCCACATCGCATTCAAACGCCACTACGAATGTACAAATGGAAGTAGAATGCGTGCCGCATCCCAAAAAAGGGATTGATCAACGGCAAATGCTTTATCCTTTTTTATCCTTTATTTGGCATTCTTCTTCGGTACTGTTGTGTTCGTGACTGATCGGGAACTTGACAGGAGGACCCTCGCGCGGCGAGAAGACAGACACAGAGACGAGTCGAGTCGCAGTGTGGTGAGCGTTGCGGGCTCGTAATACACATTCACATATAATACATATTAAACTTGACGCTAATCGCTACAGTACGCGCTACGACTCGTCCTTTGGCCCGTCCACGCCTCTGCTTTTTCGCCGCGCGACGGGCCTCCTGTCGGATACCCATGGCTGATCCGATCAGCCACATCTTCTGATCGACCTGGCAGTCAATTAGTGTTTTATCGTTCTGACAAATTTACACAAGAACACCGTGCCGAGCTCACAAGTTCATCAAAGATCGGAATGACATCTGAGGTTTCTTTAAGTTCCTCCCGTGTAGGGTTATTCGAGAAAGTGGATATAGATGTGAGCCATCAATCTCGCCCCTGTAAAGCCAAAAATTTCATATAGGCTCATCTCCTGCCATACCTTGGTGATGTAGATCTTGTTCTACAATAGTCGAAACATTCTCTGTTTCAGAAAATCAACGGAGCGTCGAGTGCAGATTACGCACTACAAGTGACGACGGCGGAATGTACATGTTTTCTGATAGTGAAATGACCTGCCTGTTGCATTTGTATTACGTCAGTTGTCACTAACTGCGATTCTCACTTACCATCTATCAGTTATCATTATGAATCACTAGTTATAAAAATTTGCTTGGAGGCTGTCGGGTGTTCTGCACTCGAGGTGCTTCTGGTTTTCTGGAGCACAGGAATCTTGTTTCTCGGAATTTTTTCCTATATGTTTTCCTATATGTAATTGCATTAAGATGCGAACATAGGCATTCGTTATTGGATATGAAAAGAGCATAAAAATAGCCAACAGGAAAATTTGCCTTTTGCAATACACGGAGGCATTGTGATGCATTTGAAAACTCGTAAAACATGCCATTTTTTCAGTGAGCCATTTTCATTTTCTCTGAAGCTCCCGCCTCTTTCTATGCCCACTCCTTAGAGGATGCCCGTATATTGCAAAAGCGGCCAAATTTTAAAATAGTTTGAACCTAGTATGAAGTATATATTCTAACTAAAAAAAGGAAGTATGATATTTTTAGTGTGGAAACGGAAGAATCCTGAAAAAAAGTTTTATGCTCCGACGTCGGAATAGAAGAAAATCAGGTCGAGGAAAAGGAGTAAAAGAAAGTCGAACCCAAGAAAATGGGGTGCTAGATTATTGGCCTCAACACTGAAATCCAACGTTGTAGCTAGCACAAAACAGTTGTATCTTTTCAAAATCATGTGCGTCAAATGCCTCCGTAAAAAATAAGGCGTTATCGCAGTAATATCAGGAAGGCATCCACTAAGACTAAGCTTAGGAGAGGGCAGGTGCTGGGAAAATGAAAATGGCTCAACCGCCCCAGAGTATTTCCTCTCCTGTCTGAAGTTTAGTCCTCTCTCCGAAAAAGTCTATGTTTTAGGCGTTAAATTTACTGCCACCTCAATCCCCCCGTATCCTGCGATAGCGCCAAAAGTATTTCAGAACGAGTACGGGGTGTGGGCTTAGTAAGGCAGTGGATTAGGTGGTCCTCATAACTCACTATGAACGGCCTGGCGCTGCTCAATAAGTTCTTTGACGAGCTGCTGAAAGGCAAGCTTTTGGCTGTCAGGAATCTTTTGCTGGATCAATTTTGACCATAGTTGTTCACCAGCTGCTTGGGAGTCCTTCGAATCCTTCTGAAACGTTTTCTAGAGCAAAAGGACCAGTCCAAATGAGTGAACTTGCCTCTTAGAAGCAAAAATATTTTGAAAAAAAAAACAACTTGAAAATATAGAAAATAAGCGAACAGAAATAGATTTTTATTCGGAATGCTACTCACTGATTCAAAAAATTCTCTTCTCAGTCTGTCTTTATCCATTTCTACGCACAATGTACATTTCTCGGGTGGCGGCTCTGCTCAATCCCTCACTAGTGGATTATGAAAATTTCTAAAATTCAGTGAAAAAAAAGCAAAACTGTGGAAAGTCTTGGAATTGATAGTAAGGAAAACAGTATCAAGTAATTGTGAATTTCACACAAGCTACGAGGTTTTCCGCCGCTGTCGAAAAGTGGGTGGCGAGTTGCTCGCCTAAGGGACGTATTGATTTTGCTGTCGGCGGCTCGAAGATGGGATTTCCGCACTGAAGACTACGAAAATTTAATACGAAATTGTCTATTGTTTATTTATAACGTTGTGCTTAAGGCAAACGCAAGAAACACGAACTTATACAACAAAAGTCTTATAGAAAGTTAAGTTCACTGAAAACTCAAAAATTCTTTCCTACTCAGGCGGTTGAAAAACCGGAATGCGGAGAAGCTATTACTGCCTATCAAATGACTAGAATGTGTCTGTTAATTATCCTAAAGTGTCCGTTTTGTGACTAAACAACGGTTTTTGAGAAGTTTTCACTGCCAAGCATGTTTTAGTTAACTTATCCACAACTGAGCGTAACGTTCTTTCAGTAGTGAAATCTACGGCAATCTTTTTCCCCGCAGATTTTTCGTGCTCTACTGGCAGGAAATGAAATTGCCTCTCAAAAGGAATCCTTCACGGAGAAAATCATGATTCTATTTCAGCCATAAATCACTGGCTTGAGACCCATTATCCACGATAAGAATGAAAAGAACAGAAAATTGCAAAACTTTGTAAAAAATTCGAAAAACCGAAAGGGCTGCTACGCGTTCAGAGCGTGGCTGGCGACGGGGATGCTTCCACTTGGTTCTTGGAGTGCCTCACTAGAAACTCTTTCTGGCCTTTTGACTTATTGCATTCACATCTCACACTTCTACTCCATCCTATTCTATCGATCGATTTGTCTCTACTCTCCAAAATCGCACGCTTTAACCCGATTCTTTCATTGCGTCGCCTGATACGTGCGGACTTCTTTCCATGCCCCGCCTTTGGCTCCGCCCGAATTACCTTCGATTGTCCATAGAATGTATTTTTGTGAGTTTGTTTCTCTTCGGAAACCGAATCTTCATGCGTGAAACTTTGTGTGCTGCATCTAGTGTGATCACAACTGACACATTCATGTTGAGAAAGAATGCAAGAATTTTCCGCGAAGGATTCCTTCAACACCGATTCTACAGGGCGCGGCAAAAGCAGCTACCGCTTTACGAAGCACTGCTACAGAAAGAGAAAAAATAGCAGCACGAGTTTTAATCGATATGAAGGTGATCGATAATCAATAAAAAGGACAAGGGATAAAGCATTTGCCGTTGATCAATCCCTTTTTGGGATGCGGCACGCATTCTACTTCCATTTGTACATTCGTAGTGGCGTTTGAATGCGATGTGGCCTATACAATGACTTGCGGGGCCAGATGTACAAGTCAGTGTTTTTATCCTCCCAGACAAGTCTGGTACCAATTAACCGACCCCGGAGGGATGGAAGGCTTGGTTGGCCCGGGCGACTCACGACCCAGGATTTGATCCCCGGACCGCGCGCGTGGTAAGCGCGCCACTTGCCACTGCACCACTTTCGCCCGCCGAATGAATAACCAGGAGTTAAAATAGCCAGGAGTTTCAAATATCTACAAAATAGCTTCTTTACAAAGACAGGACTTTGAGGAATGTGTCCGGTACGGTGTTTTTCTTGGAAAAGAGATACATAAGCAAAGTGCAATTATACGAATCGAACAATCAGATCGGGTGAAAATGGAGTTTGGGGATTCAAGCCCATCTTACATTAAGACGGATCAAATCAGCTCACAGTGGAGCGAAAATGTGATCTAGAGCCATGGGCCACATATTTTTGCATGGAGCTATGAGAGCTCCAAAGTGGATGGATCTCAACCGCATGGGAAGAACTGAATAAAGCTGAATCGAGTAAAGGCATCATCATTTGATTTCTAACTAAATTTGCTCAGCACTTAAACGAACTTAACAAACTTTACTTGACCTCACGCTGCCAAAAATGGTGCCTCAGCTTCGGGTGAGATTCAGAAACTGAGCAGACCGCTATTTTTTTGACCAGGTGCACCCTTTGTTTATGCAGTTGCTGCGACGACCAATTCGGACGAAAATTAGGAGACGTTCACCATCCGACGAGGGAAGAACTCCCTCAAAGTTTACTGTCATTATTTGATACTTTCCGCACTTCTGGCACATTATACTTTTAATTACACTCATGCTTTAGAAAGGCGTAGTTCCTGGAGCAACCTGGTTGAAAAAAGTTGTTCCTTTCTCTCGTCAAGGTCTTCTTCTTCTCCCTAGCGTAGTGCCGCGCAGTCGCTGTGTCCGCTCATGGTGAATCTTTGAAGGCAGGACTTGCTTCTTATAGTTTCTGTGAACACCACGGAGTGTAGGGCGCGCTCTGCTACGTGCTGGCCACAAGGTGGCTGAAGAGTTCTTGTAGAGAAGCGTCCCATTCCCGAACATCGCGATCGGCAAATGCCGGACAGTTATTGAAGCACATGCATGTGTTCAAATAGTTCCCCTGTTCGCATCCCACCGATAGGATTTGAGTAGATGGAGTGGGCAGGCTCAACCAATCGCTGAATTTCCTCCGTTCTGAGACTTCTTCCCTTGGCTTTTCGATACCCTCGCACATTGCCCTCCATACGAACTAAGTTGGGTGGAACGCAATCCTTGTGTGATGTACATTTGGAAGGAGTTTATCATTACCATAGCGATGACTGGAAGTGTACTGCGATCAAAAGTCTAGGGGTACGCCATGGCATCTTTATGCCTCCCCCCACCCTAGCGCCTCGACTTCCAAAACAATAATTTTTGCGTATAACACGTGTTCCTACTTCTAGCCATGTATGGAGTCACTGTTCACACCCAACTTGCTCGTGTCTGCTACGCAATCCTGTTACTTGCTGGCCCACGCGTAGCCTCGGCACCTAGCAAATGTTCTCGGCGATGCACGGCTTCCAGCGGAATGCCAGGTACTGTTGGTCGGATAAAGACATCCCCTAGCGGCCGCCGTGCCACTGCACAGGCTGCGATTACTTGTCTTATGATCCTGATGAAACTTTTCGCAAATGCAGTCGTTGGCCGAAGTAGGTTCGTTCCGGCCTCTTACCGAACTTACTGATTAAATGTTCGTCGTCCACCACCTTTTCTTCCTTGGGCAGCAATGACTATGGTCCTGTCGCTCCCTATGCACGTAAGGCATTGTTGTGGGCAATACCATATCTCTGAGCTACAATCGTATGACATTTTCTTTTCAATTTCCTATTGATTCTCCCTCGGATGGAGTCACCCTAGTGCTATCCCTGAGACCTGCTGTTGAAGAACACCATTACAACCCACAGTAACTTCTCGCTGATAATATCCTGCCTCTTTTCCAATGCTATCACACCCCTCATCTTGCGTGGCCGGTCCCATTTGACTCAAGATTGAAGCCGACCGCATGAAATGTGGAGCGTAGTTCACTTGCGTAATGGAGGACCATTGGCATCATGCCCAGAGAGTTTCCTCCAATTCCATTTAGTTGTTAATAAATCATGTTATCTTGTCCACCTCAACCATGAGCTTTGCGCGCCAGTGCACATCAACCACACAATTCAAATACTGAAGAAGCGAAACTCTCATTAAGTTCATCTTATTTGACCTTTGCCTCTCATATGGCCAATTGATTGTCTTGGCAATTTTAACCTTGATAAACATAGACTGGATAGCATCGATGGCGAGAAATTTGATATCCTTTACATTTCCTGATTGCTGCTGGTGTTTAGTTCACTGTGTCACACAGCTCGTTCTGGTCCTATACCCGACTTTACGAAAGCTGATTAAGCTCTCGAACTACTTCTCACTAGCTGATTGGTGAAGTGCCTTCGAAGGAGACAGATCAGCTCATAACAGGACAAGGCGTTCATAAGATGTTCTGCCGCATTGTTTGTACTGGCTTTGCTAGATTTGGGCTCATCGGTGAGGATGTTCGGAAAATACGGTATACGAAGCATGTTAACATTTAGTATAAGAAACGACAGTCTCTTCAGAGCTACGGATTCCCTTCTAGTTTCTTTCTTTAGTAACAAATTCGATTAAAAATTATCATTTTAGGAGATCTGTGGATAACAATGAAAGGCGAGTTGTCACCAGAGCAAATTTTCTGCATAGTATAGCTTCTATATTGTTCCTTTTTTCAGATACAATGATAGCCCTCCCCCACTCCTCCGGAGAGCGTGCGTATAGGAAATCCTTCCTTTGGAAGGACAATCATGGCAGTTATCCCAAAATTTCCAAAGCGAATGTGACGTCATCCCTCCGCCCAATCGATATCACTGCACTCACAATCAGGGTGAATATCGGTTGAGGAATTCCTCGACGGCGGGTCGTATTTGCTTCTGTTGAAGGAGAAGGGGGTCGCAATTGTCGGTTTCAGTATCAAACTAGACGTGGTAACCAGGTTAGCAAAAGTTGCAGGGGGCGTCTTCCCACCTCACTCATTAAAACCTCAATGCGTAAGGGGATTCATATTTCGCAGGCTCCACAGCAAAGACATAGAAATCCAGTGGAAGGAGAGCAACCTTGTGTCGAATTCAAAATGTAGAACTCATAAGTACACGCAAGCAGTTCCGGCCCATGTGCTTAGTAGCATGGACCGCGCAGAGATTCGTAGCCATGGAGGCTGCAGAAACCCCTCCTCCAGAGCTGCTCGACTCTGCTTGATCGATGATACCAAGCACGGTTCAGAACGGCACTCGCGTTTTGAGTGGAGCTCGGCCGAGCCTGGAACGGAGCCGTCAATGCTGTCAGAGAGGCGTTGAAAATGGAAAGAGCAAGCAAGTGAGGCTGAGCCGTGGTTATAAGAATTCCCACGTTTAATCACCGCTGAGAACACTTCGGCTCTTATCAGCAAGTCATCATGCACACACAACACCTTTCAATTGACTTAAAATACGAGCGAAGACCGACGGCATGGCGTATACTCGACCGAAACTAAATGGCGCTGAGCGTATCTAGTTGTATCAGCGACAGCGAAGCGATGCGTACCTAAGGCATTTTGAGAGGTTTCAATGAATTTCCTAGCAATGATGTGGAAGGAATCCGGTTTTTGAGTGAAGAAAAAATTCCTCGACATTTTCCTCGACGCAGATTTCTCTTTAAGTAGGAAGTTTTCGAAACAAGTCAGGCAACCATTTGAAAGAGCAATTCTTCTACTTTCTTAAAACACCTTCCCGAGCAATTGAGAAATAAGAAAGTTATCGTCTTGAAAACAGCAAAAATCCGCATGAAAATTCCTAGTTCCTCGACGTTTCCTCGACGTGAAAAATCTCACTGGATAGGGTATCTTCAGAGCAACTTCAAAGGTAGTAAAGAAGAAGGATCAAAGATAGCTCCTTCAAAGCACACGAACAGTTCTCCGAAACATCAAGTTTCGAGTTATTAAGGTTTGAAGCATAAGGGGAGAAGGCAAATTTTCGAGATAAATCGCTCCACCGCGTGAGCCGCGCCGCAGCCGCGTGAGGAATCAGCTGCCCCTTCAAATTCGGTGACACTTTCATTGTTAGGTCCTATTCATCATTTTCTCCGTTCCTGTCGATCATCCTTCGTGTAACGTGTGTACACGTGAACAATCGCCGCTGTTACAATAGGAGAATGTTTTGTTTTTCAGGATTCCTTTGTTAATCGTAGCTTTCGCGCCGTAGTTGCTGAATATAGGTGAGTTCTCCTGAGTTTGTCATTGACACACAACTGCTAATGAACCTTTTTTGAGATTACTTTGCTTTCACCATCGCTTTGTTCTGCTTTTGATCGGTTAGTGTTTTGATTTCGTGACTGATTTTCACGGAGGGGTCGTACCGAGATCCCGCGTTTTAGGCTGGGGTCGTGTCACAGTTGGGTTTTTCTCGACAAGATTTCACCCTGCTGACAATTGAAGTACTGGGAAAATTCATACGTGATGCATTTATGCGTTACTTTGTTAGAAATAAGCTTATTTCTGTGGAGCAGCATGGTTTTGTGGTCGCTCCCACGCGTGTGCTGATAGTACTATGAAGAGAAATCACATTCACAGACATTTATTTTGATTTGTCAAAAGCATCTGATGAAGTCAGTCACCCAGTGGTTGAGGTTCATATATGTGTTGATGATATTAAGATACACATTCGGTGTCTAATTAAAGCAACAGTCCAGGCAGGGTTTCAACCATTTGGTTTTCAAGTGGTGGAAACATGCCTCAGCCTGATTGGAGTTCATGGGAAATGTCACAAACTTCAAAACTTACCTCTGAAAGGCGTTGGAAGCAGTCGAAATCCTTCAAGAGGGGCGGATCCACCGATCCGTGGTGGGGCCGCCTCCAAGCAGCTGTGCAGAGCGCTTGCTCGACTAGCGGTCGTTGCGGGACCGCCGCGCTGTATGAGGTCGATTCCATAAGAACGCAATTGAAGCGCTTCAATTTCGATTGCTGGCAAATAGTTATGTATTTGCAAGCATGCATGGCTATTTGCCAGCAGTTGCAATTGGAGCGCATGTACTACGGGCAGGTTCGGACAACTCGTCCAACACACGTCTCCCTAAACGGCAGGGGGAGTCCCTGTCTAAGCCCCTGCCCGACGTTTTTTTCTACTTTTTCTTTCTCCATTGACCAACTTCTCACCTGCAACGTCATTATAGGTGGTCCTTACCCGCGAATTCGTTCCTGGATTGTTGCTTTAAGATAGCCGCCCTGTATTCGCCATGCCCCAATCCAGTCTATTACCAAGGTGATTAGCTGGGCAAAGGCCTGAGAAGTACTAATGCTAGTTACTACATGTTTCGAACTTACTGAAACTAGAAGGCTCACGAACGAAGCCCCAGTTCAAGGGCTGAATTTAGGTCTTTACCCCACACATAAAGAAGCTTCAAGCTATGATAGAGAAGGTTCAGCAGACATAAGCGATACAACAGATGTGCCGGCGCTATCTAATCCATGTTTGCACGACAGTTTACACAGAGCCTTCACATAAAATCAAATCTGAAACGGTTCTTCATCGACGCGTCTTCATCGATGTGGTGTTCTGTTTTCAGCCATCAGAAGGTAATCTGGATAAAGCCAATTGCTCGATGTTTGAAACTTGTCGGAGGTGTGCCTCCAAGCACTCTGTGGAGTGTACTTAGAGTAACAGTCCCAGGACGGTTTTCACCTTCAACACTAATGGTGTGGAACGATGCTCAAGAACGTAAGAAGTGTGACTGAACAAAAAACTCACCTTGGAAAGCCGCTAGAAAGGGAGCTGAACGGCTTCGAAGTGGGCGTGGTTGCTCAGTCGGCTGCAATCCCCTCGCCGACTTCCAACCACGTTCGAAGCCGTTCAGCTCCTTTCCAAGGTGAGTTTTTTGTTCAGTCACACTTTTTATGTTCTTGACTAGGGCTAGCGCATCGTTCCACACCATTAGTGTCGAAGGTAAAAAAAACCCTGCTGGGACTGTTGCCTCAACGCCTGGAAAGCCAACACTGTATAAAAAAAATCCTGCTGGGACTGTTGCCTCAACGCCTGGAAAGCCAACACTGTAAAGTATCAGACTCTACATGACAAGAGAGATAGCTACATTGTTACCAGCAGAAGGTCATGCGCACAAAACAGTAGCGTTTTTAACATAACTTGAAAAAAGTTGGTTCGTATGTCTTCTTAGGATTCAGGACTTGTAAAATTTATTTTGAAGGAAACTTTTTCGCGAACTTCTTGTTTTTTGGACGTTTTGCAGCTGAAGGCAAAGTTCGGGTTTAGACTCACCTAATAGCCCTCACCATGGCTAGAAGTGCTGCGCACGCAAGCGCAAAGTTGGCGCCACCTTCCTA